GCACATATTCCCTGTCTATGTGTGCATGTCCAAACTGTATCTGTGTGTTGGTGTGTGTGTACGCAGGACAGAGGATGTGAGTCCCGTGGGTGACAGGTTGCTGTCCACCGAGGAGCAGGTCACTCTGATCACTGAGAGTATGACTGTCACCTCCACTGACCAGGAGAAACTGCTGCTGCTCAACAAGAACACCGAGCTCCGCAGAGTCAACAAAGAGGTAGAACATCACCTTAAGCTGGTGCTTTACTGATGTTGGCAATTACATTTAGTTCTCTCTGAAAACCAGAGGAAGACTGTGGGGGCGTTGTGCGAAAGCTGCTGCTAAGCTGTGAAGAATCATCATTAAAGTTACATTTTTCAACCCTACGTTTTAATTAGATGCTGCTTAATAAAAAAGACGAGGGAAAATTAGTCTCTCAACTGATATAAACTGTGATGTATTTAGAGAGCACACAAGTATAGTGACGAGTCTTACCTCACTGACCTAAATTCACTTCCTGATGCCCACATTGTTGTGAGAATGACAGTCGTAATGATATCATGAACGTTGTTATTGATGGCTGAGGCCATGACAATTAGGTGAAGAAGATGATGATGGTGATGGTTTGTTACAGCTGATGAAGCTGAATGAGGACTGGGACCAGGTGTACCGCAGTGCCACACTGGGTCTACAGCAAAGATTGGAGGCTTTGGAGCTGGAGAACACTGCCATCAAACAGCTCAACAGCCGACTGCTGCTCAAAGTTGAGCACCAACAGGTAAACAACACAGAACAATACTTCGAGCTTGGACATGAAGTTTACTGCGCTGGTAGAGACCCTGAAAAGTGTGAGGAGATACAGTATTTGGGGGGATTCCAAAACTGTGGGCTGTGGTGTAGCAGGTGTAGATGATGATAGATAATGCGGTTTGCATGTGTGAGGTTTAATGGCTATTTCTGGGGTTGCAGAGTGCAAAGGAGTACTATGAGCAGGCGTTGATGCAGGAGCTGAAGAAGAACCAAGAGCTGCAAGAATACGTCAGACTGCTAGAGAACAGGATGCACCATTCAGACAAAGACCGTACATCTGTACAACAGGTACATACTTGATATTATACCTGATCTGTTTGTACTTTTTAATGTCTCTCAGTATTCGCAGTATCATTCATCAGTTTGTATTATGTCTTTACTAAAGGGCAGCTTTAGTGCTGTGGTACGTGGTCCTGTATCATTCCCCACCGGTAATCCTCCTGGAGGTCCCAACCTGTCGACCTCCTTCCCAGCTCCTTCCAGCCCAGAGGCAGGGTGGCAGGGAAAAAGCCAGAGCAGTAGTTCCCCACTGGGAGCACTGGGAGACTCCCGGCAAGAAGTGCAGGACCTAAAAGAGCAGCTGGAGGCATTGAAGTGTCAGGTGGGTTGCTCTCTTCAGCACAGCATCAAAAAATCTTCACATTTCTGATGTGATGAGGGCATAATTGATGTCAATTCACTGTTGCCAGGGAAAGATTTGCTTAAAGCTTAAACTTGAATTAGATGGTGAACTACACCACCAAGTGGTGGCTCTGTGCTGTTCTGAAATGTGTTCAAATCTTAATAAGAAGTATCTGCAGATCACAAGTGTCTTTTTGATATTGGCTTACCACCATACTGATGGTCTTATGTCAGCAGACCCAGATTTATGAAGCAGAATATGAGACGGAGCATAACGACCATAAACACACACAGCAGGAGAACCGGAGGCTAAGGAAGAAAAGGGAGGAGATGCGCCAACAGGTGGCACTACTGCAAGAGCAGGTAGTGTTTTAATTGTCTGTATACATGCACACCAGTGGGTGAACTATGCCATGGCTGTCAGGGGAGCTTACTTTATTTTTATTAATTTTTTTAGTTGCCAGCTGCAATCATGTAGGCCTACTTTATTTATGTCTGACCTATAATAATCAGTTAATGACACACATGCATCAATAATAGCCCAATTTTACACATGATCTATAATGACAAAGATACAGAAAAATAACAAATCGAAATGCATGGCAAAACTAGCATATTGTCAATGTTTTACAGACCCCCCCCAAAAAAATTTCACAAATCATTTTTTCAGGGGAGCTCATGTTTTATTAAAAGGAACCAAGCTCCCCCTGGTGCCCCTGTAGTTCGCTCCCTAAAAAACACAAACACAAACAAATAGAAAAGCACACACTCACACAGACATGCACATGCACATTCACACTTAAACATACATTATTAAACACATTTGTAGTCTAATCTTGACCCAAAGTCAGCAAAAGACTGTTAATAATGCCAAACCAGAGACTTTAATGCCTTGTTAGATTGGTTAAATGTGGAAAGTATAAGTTAAATATGGTTAAATTTAGAGCAGTGCTAATTGTGTTATTTTATTTTATTATTATTATCTTTTTACTCCTTAAATGCCTCACTGATATTTGTTCTGCCATTGCTACAGCTCAAAGTTTATGAGGATGACTTCCGACGGGAGCGGTCTGACAAACAGATGCTGCAGCGACTGTTGTTGAAGAAAACGCCTCCAAATAAGGACCCTGTGCTTATCCACCGCTGCAATAATGTGCAGCAGCCACTAGGAGGAGATAAAAGGACACAAAATGCAGAGAAAAGAAAACAGCACCACCCACTTTGCCCCAAGCACCCAAATAGGGACAAAGAGTCAGACTGAGGGTCGCAGAACAAAAACAAAACATGACCATGCAGACAGTAAACTGAGTTTTAAATGTTTCAATGTCACAGTAAAATGAGACTCTCATAACCGGATTTTTACTGGCAGCATAGCATCATTACAGACACACTCAGTGGATCTACACCACAAGTAAAATTGAGCTCATGCTATTTTAGTACTCTGTCAGACTCACTAACAGCACTTTTATTTGATCAGTGTAGAGAAAAATAGCATGTAGTTAATGTTTATAGAAAAAGCCCAACATGCGAAAACTCATTGCTCTTTTTAGGGTTCTACTTGTTAACCTTCTTAATAATAAAAGGGCACAGTGAAATTTCAGATTATAGTCTACATTACTTTTCTGTATATTACTTTAAAAAAAAACAGTTGCCAAGTTTGGTACAATATATATGTATTTAATATATCTAATATATTATTTCTATCTCTTTCTCTCAAGTAATTTTTTATTCTGATTATTGATTACTATCAGAGCCATTAAAACGAATTATAAAAAGTCTAAATAATAAAATAAGCACCACTTCAACGTCTTTGTGACAGAAGAGGTTACCCACAGCTACTTTCTGATGATTTTTAAATTATTTATTTTTTATGCGGTGCATTACTTTGAAGTTTGTGATATTATTTCTTTTCAAAGTGTCTTGGCTCATTAAAACAACCACACAATAAAAGTCCATGAAATGTGTTTGACATCAGAAAGTCGGACGAGGAAGTTGCATTTGGGTGGGTGGGGGTCCCCCAGCTGTTAAGGAGCAGCCGATTGCCTCTGGAGTGTGCTGCTGAGTTAATGTTTTCTAATGTTTCCTGGTGAACCATATGTGTATTGAAACTACTGACACATGTCATTGCACAACAGGAGGTGGCCACCGGGTGACCAGGGGCTTTCCTCTGTGAATTATTTTCCTTGCACCCTTGGATAATTCCTCTAATAGACTGTAAAAGATTATCAATTTGTCTTTTGTATTTTGTTAAACAGTATATAACAAGTAATCTATTTTCTTTCATTTTGTCATTGATTTATTCGTTGATCTACTGCACACACATATGCACACAGTTTAAAATCAGAATGACATCATTTGTCAGCCACTGGTTGACACATGAGAAGACCAGCAGGCAGCATCACACGTTTCGAGTTACTGTGAAGGAAGTTAAAATGTGGAATTGGCTGTTTCTTGACAACACACAGACAACAATCATTAAACTTACTCATGGTTTTCAGAGAAGGAAGCTGACAAGTTGTTTGCTTGCTAAATATCTTCCTCTTCCTATTAGGACGGGGAAAGGGGTCAGAAAATTGAAGGTTGTGTATTTATTGATTTATTTATTTTGAGGGTAGTCTGTATTTGTTGGGAGAGCGATGCAAATATAATCTCTTTCCATAATTATATTTTCTACATTCATTTGGGGCAGAAATATTGCTGAGTACAAAATGAGTGGCTGCATTTTCACTATTTTTGCCATAAATCTATTATTTTCAGACACTGGGTTGGGGGTATTACAGTTTGCTTAGAGATTCAGCCTTCCTCCCCCACCCCATTTTTTGTGACAGACTTTCTATTAACTTTTTTTTACACAGAATGACACAAAAAAATATGCACGTACTGATATTCTTATATACATATGAATGGAAAATAATTAGAGGAAAAAAGATATCGAAAAAAATTAATAAAAACAAAAATTATGATAACAACTAAACGAAGAAGAATATGGCTAAATGTTGTCCATTAATGAAAAAGGAGACTGTAAGGATTTTACTTTCTGTTATTTATCCTTTACCCAGAACTGTTCACACACAATATGTCTTTGTTCTGTGATCAGTCGGCATTCCTTCACGTTCACAGTTCCTGACAAGGAACAGAAAAAACAAATATGAGGTTGTGATGATGGGAAACGTTATTCTGACAGAATAATGAGTTTCTGCCAGCTAAAAGGGTTTACGTCATATCAGCGTTAAGCAATTTCAAAATAAAAGACAGCGCCAAAAATAGCCTTGCTTTCTAAGTATTAGTATCAGTTTCCTGATGGTTAAGCATACCATTAGTCCATAAAGTACAGATAACACAAGCCTGGTATGTAACACCTGAAAAGAAAAGGTTTCTTGTTACTTTAGTTAAGAAATACCTTTGCAGAGATGCATCACCACACCTAGACTGCGCAACAATACATGATTAAGTCATGGGTTTTCCCTTTAATTTAGTTTCCTTTTAAATGTAAACGTGATTACTATGTTAACATTTTATGATGCTGACAAAGGAACTGGAGTTTTTTGGAAGTCATCTGTGTAGTATATAAATCTCAGCCACAGAAGAGCTTGGCATTATCCAGAGTCCAGACTCACAGAGAGAGGAGAAGACTGAACAGCAGACAGGTATGGAGACAATATACTGCAGTAGTTTTCATTAATATCTTGCAGGTGTGGTTACGTGAAAATGTGCATAAAATTGCAGCAGTTTAAACTAACAGTGTGTATTTAAAGAATTTTGATGTAACGCCACCTGGACTAGATAAACTCTGCCAAAAATACTGCCACATTTCATTGTGTTTATGTATTTATTGTATTTGAGTAAATTATGGATGTTTTTTTCACTGTGGTTTTGTCATTTTTTCCTTAAAAAGTTTTGCAGGTGGACTGTTAATATTTCTCTCAAAAGTTCATGAAGGCTAAAGTTTTCTGTCTTTGACCTGCTATCGTCAGCAGATGTTATATTTTTGCAAAGAGACTCTTAACGTGGACAATAGAACGGTTCACACAGGCACTGAGGTGTAGTTGTTAGGGTTAGGTCTTGTAGGGCAGGTGGAACAAGGTGGTGCTCCCACCTAAATGTGGTTAGATGTTTTCCCCATCAGGCCAAGTGGTCAGGGCCATGCTTCTTTTTATGTCTGAATAAACAACTAAAGTCTAACATGTCTCAGAAACTAGATGGAAAACACAATCTTTCACAGAATATATAAATAATATAAATTCGCTCTCTGTTCCCCCCCTAATCCCCACCCTCACCTCAAACAATCTACCTTATAAATTTTGGAAGCAGAAGGCCTGAAGCATCAGCAGCTAAACCGTCTAGCAGAGATGACTACATCCAACACCAAACTGCAGGAGATCTACAACCAGCAGGGCTTCCTCTCAGCGCTGCCTGTATTGAATGAGACTGAGCTGAGGGAGGCAAAGCATGCCTTTTCTGAGCTGGAGAGGAAATTTGGTAAGTGCCACTAGAAGATGAAGGAGGATGAGGCTTAGTTGTCAAGAATGTGTTTCTGTAATCCTGTTTGCTTTCCATTTTCATTCCACATAAATATGCAATATGATGATTTATGACGTGGCACTTTTTGTCTGAGAATGGGTGTATTATGTGTTTGTATGTTTCCAGGTGAAGAGTACACCCAGTACAGCCTCCACAATGTTCACCTTGAGTATCCATGGGTGAGGAACTTGACCAAACACCCTCAAATCTTAAAAGTGATCAAAGCCATTTTGGGCCCTGACGTCATCCTGCTGGACTCCCGCTTTATCTGTAAATACCCAATACGCAAACCTGACAATCAGGAGGATGAAGAGGGAGAAACCAAACCCGTTGTCGAAGGGAATGGACTTCCGTATGTGGCATGGCATCAGGATATGAGGTAGATTTACATACTGAAAAAATGCTGAAAGGTTTTGTTTTGCTTTGTTTTGGGTTTGTATAATTTGAATTGTTTTGTTTGCAGGTATTGGGGTATTGCTGGTGGCCCTGTTCTGTCTGTGTGGCTCGCTTTAGATGACTCACAGGAAGAAAACGGTGCCCTTCGGGTCATCCCAGGTACGTCAGCTGCTCATTTATGCTTCTCATGCAAGTGTATCCCTTTAGCCACTGTCCTGGTTGGACCTCAGCTGAATAATAAAACACTGTTCTTGACTCCCACCAAAGGCTTAACTTTTTTTCTTTGTGCCCTGTAGGTAGCCACTGCGCTGGCATGTTGCCCCATCGCCAAGCCATCCGCAGTGGAAACATGTTGTCAGTGAATCAGGAGATCCCAGAGGAGCTGGTGCAGGATGATAAAGCTGTGCTTTGCCCTCTGTTAGCCGGGCAGATGTCTGTGAGTTTAGTCATTTTTTGCTAAACATGACAGGGTTTTGAGTGCAACACAGGGTGAATTAATTAGAATTTGGGATTTTGTTGTAACAGATTCATGATGGGCTCCTCGTCCACGCCAGTGACCCCAACACATCCCAGAAAAGGCGCTGTGGGTTAGTGATCCGCTATGTTCCCACCTGTGCATATCCCATACAGGTGAGACAAACATGAATATAGATGTATATGTATATATAGAATATGGATGTATGTATGTACTTCCAGTGTCAGACTTGCTCCATCTATTGATTCTGATTCTTTCTGTTGCTGTTAGGATCCTGATCGTCCCAGGAAATTTCATGCGACAGAGTTGGCTTGTGGAACTGATGAGTTCAATAATTTCTCCAGCAAAACCGCATGAATACTTCCTTGATTCCTCAGCTACTTGTAGCTACTCTTTACAGAAATATTCCATATTTAGACCAAATACCTACTTTATGCTTATGAATAATATAATTTATTGAAAATATGTGCACATTTCTATGCTAAATTTTTTACTTTGCTTCAATTGTGAATTGATGCTTGATTAATCAAATTCTTTACTATTATCATTATTATTATTTGATCAAAAGTGTGTATTATGTGTGAACATTACATTGTGCAATATAAATGTAACTGGACTGTTTTCAAATAAATTGTCACAATAATCAATAATATGACTTTTGTTTACTCAGTTCAACATTTTGGACATGAACACTATGATTTTATGAACATTTTAAATGTCATCCAAAAGTGGTGGTATATTATTTATAATTAGGCTTTGGTAATACAAAATCCAACGCTTCAGTCACTGAGGTACAAGCACCTTTTTTGAAATCTGTGTAAAATAAAGAGTTAATAAAGATGTATTGTTGAGGTCTGAGAGGTTGGGGGTGGGGAGACCAATGATTTTGGAGGCGCCTGCTGTGAAGGAGATGGGCTGCAAACATGTCAACACGGATGTGGACAAAGCACACGTTGATTTCAAAAATAAGCTGGTCACAACCTGTGCATTCAATGACTCATAATAGAGTGACTCCCAAGACTTTAGTTATGGAAACGTATTGCATTCATTCACTTGAAAATGCATTTTTTGCTTTGTTTTTCGGAGTAATTATTTTTCTGAGTTTAGAGAGCATTTGAAACAATAGACGCATTCATTCCTTTATTGAGAGCTCGATTTAACGGAAACAAACATGAGCAGCTTGTTTAGTTCAATCAACTTTTACTTTGATATGGG